CCCGTCCTTTCACTCGCTCTTCTCTCTCCCCAGCAATTTTCCATAATGCCGCACAGATTTTACACTCAATCCACCTTTGCGATGACAAGGCTTTGAGGAAATCCAATTCCAACCAAGCTGTTTTCAGAACTTACTCTCCACAGGCACACACACACACACACACACACACACACACACACCATCTCCACAAATTAGTCAGGGAACAAATTACCTGCATTCTGAGTGTGATCCCACGCACTTTGCCGGCTGCCTTACACAGGTCCCCTTTTGAAGAGCAGCCATGTGATTCCTCTCTCTTTTGCCCCGCAGGCGCCTTTGCCTTCTGCGAGGGATTCTGGAGTTGAATTTTAAAACTATGTATGGCTGCTGCCTGCGCTTATCAGCGCGCGCACAAGCGGCATGCAAATCAGACCGGGATCACACGCCGCATTGGAGGCCTGCACTCAAAGGCAAGCTTAATTGCTAATTGGGTATCTAGGTGTGAAAGTCCCGCTGCCAATGAGAAGCAGGGATGTGGATGTTTTAAGGCCAGTGGTTGAACTAATTAATTTCAATGTGAATGTTATTAAAATTTGTGGATTCCCTGTATTTTCTGTGAGGGGCGACGGAGGGGCGGGGGCACCGCCCGGGGAGGTGTGCTGTGGCATTACTTTTAACAGCAATTGGACATGTGGCGGCCTGTTTTTTTTCATTCGCTGTGATGTCATTAGCAGTGATGTTTTGACAACACCGATGAGGTCAGCGGAGGCGTTCGTTCCACTGTCAGCAGACAGTACCGCCGCTGTGGAACTTATCCCGACGTTAGAGAGGTGCACCGGATCAGGTACCGGATCAGGTACCGGGGGCTACGGGCCAATCTTGGGTCGAACAGCGTTTGCTTGATAATAACAATTCAGTACAATTAAATAAGTATTAATGCGTCACACTTTCTTTCACAAAGCCAAGTGAGCTAAGTTAAGTCCAACTTGATGTTGACTTTCAGTGCGGCATTTAGCTTATTGATTGAACACATGCACGAGCTCATGAATCGGAAAGGTGCAGGATGCATTGGGTGCATCAGTTCATCCGTGAGGGCCCGACTGCTGTCCCTGGTAGTTGATGTCTCCATTCGCACACAGGGGCCACTTAAGTTCAAATTCACCTCCTTCAAAAATGATGGAGCGAGTGCTTCTGTGTACAGACAACTGGAAGCGGTCTCGCTGTTTGTGGCCTCGTGTGATCGTAGGAAGATTCTGACCAGGCAGGTGCTTGTGAGGGATGTGTGTGTGTGTGGGTGGAGGGTGTCACAGGGGGCACTGGAGTGGGTTGGGATGTGTTTGTTGTTGTTGTTGTCGTTCTTTTCACTGAACTTTGGGCTTTGTGGTGTTGGAGGAGGCTTTAAAACTGCTGCTGAGCAGGAGGACGGCGAAATAAACACATGCTGCAAAAGGGCAAAGGCCAGCGGTGACTCTTAAAACAGACCATCCCCTCTTTATTGTGTGCACGTGCGCGCGCGTGTGTGTGTGTGTGCGTGCGCGCGCGCGCGTTGGGAAGGATTTTGTTTTATTCTGAAAATGCGACATCCATACCTGCCGCTGAAACAGCGACAGCCCAGAAGAGCCGCGGGCGCTCCGATGCTAATGTTGTCGGGGGCTTTGACTTCTCCCAGCCATTGCGAAGAAGCAGCTCCGCGTGACAGCCACGGCGCAGCTCTCCCCCCCCGGTGCTCCCCGGCGCTCCCCGGCGCTCCTCGGTGCTCCCCGGCGCTCCCCGGTGCTCCCCGGCGCTCCTCGGTGCTCCCCGGCGCTCCCCGCCGCTTGCGCCTCCTCCGCCGGCTCGGCCGGCGCGTTGCAAAGAGCCGACCGCGTCCCATCCGTCGCCGTCACCGACAACGAACGCCCGCCCGCGCGCGCCGCGATGGACGAGACGGACGTCATGGACTTAACGCATCAGAAGGCGAGGAAGCGACCGCGTCCCGTCGGTTCCGCGGACGAGTCCGCGCACGCTCCCCTCAAACGGCTGCCGATCCGGGCGTCGGAGTGCAGGGAGCCCCCGCTGATGTACGCGATGAGAGGAGAGCCGGTCCCCGCAGCGTCCCTCAAGCAAAACGACCACTCGGTGACCTCCTCCCCGAACACAGTGATGCCGGCGCAGGTAAACGCGTAAAAGTCCGATTTGGTGCGGGCGGGAGATAAAACAGAGAAGTGGAATTTACGCGTTTTGCTGGAGGATGCGAGGCGACAGACGCTGGCTTTATTGGCTGCGCGGTGCTAATAGATTCTCTTCCTGCGGTGCTTGTGTGCGGAGTGCGCACTATTGTCACGTTATTAGAACAGCACGCACGCTCAGACGCGCGTTCCCTGCTTTTGTTTTTCAGACTGTTTGCGATCTGCTCTGAAAATGATCCTCAGAGACTGAGGTGTCCCAGACTGCCACCTTCACTCAGGGTCTGAAACTTTAGCAGAAGTAGTTCTCGTCTCAGAGCTTCACAGACATTTGTCTCCTAATGGTGTTTGTAGGTTAACAGTCTCCCCGAATCCTATTATAGTGTTCAAATCAAGTCGTTATTGCTCATTTCTACGAAATTAATGCTCCAAATTAATTTGGTTTTGGAGATAATGGCCCACAGGAACGGGTGCTCGTGGATTTTTGGCAACATCCAGGTCAAGGTCAGGCTGATCTAACTTGCAGAGATGAAAATCTTCCCTCACACTCCAGCCAGAGGAGTGTAGAAATATATATTTTTTTAATGTTTTTTTTTTTTCCCCCCCTCAGAAATGATAATTCCCTCAATATTAACAACCACGTCCCGTGTGTTTGGAATAGAGCGCTCGTTAAAACGTTCTTTGTGGTGTTTTACAGGATCATCGCTCCAGCATGTCCAGGCCCATGATCACTCGATCACCGGTGTCTCCCCTGAGCAACCAGGGCATCCCGACCGCCGCACAGCTCACCAAGTCCAACGCCCCCGTGCACATCGATGTGGGGGGGCACATGTACACCAGCAGTCTGGCCACCTTGACAAAATTCCCGGAATCCCGGTGAGTCTGCGCTGCTGTGCATCCGTGTTTCAAGTGTGGAATATGTTTTTTTTTTTGGGGGGTGGGGGGGGGGTTTGCGGAGAGATTGCGGAGAGATTCAGCAGCGTCTTCCTTCCGAGCCAGATTTCCCAGCGTCAGAATGTCATCCCGTTTAATGTTTAATGTCATCCTGTGACATTAAACAGTCAAATGTCACCTCTCGTCAAATCACAGAGATGTCTCATGGGTGCACTTGGCGGAGAAACTGAGTATAAACGAAATGTTTTCTCCTCCTATCCGGCAAATCTGCAGCGGCAGTTGCTTCTGGATTCAGCAGCTCGTATCACAGAATTTCCTCGTCTTAGACGAAGCCCACAGTTATTTTGGGCGGTAAACAATTTGGAGGAGGAGTGCAGAATGCAGACAAAAGCGGCTGGGTTATTCTGACAGATGTCACAGCGGCAGTAAAGGGCCAAAGGGCATGGGGGCCATCTGGAGGCTGGGAGGCCGCACTGTCGCTGGGGGCCCCGGGCCCGAGGGTGACTGGCACTCTGCCTCAGGCAATCAGCTCCCGGCTGGGCTTGACCTTTTCAGACCACCTCTGTTTTTCATCTTTTCTTTCTTTCCTTCCTTCCTTCCGTCTGTCTTTCATTATTTTTCCTCCCTCCCTCCTTCCTTCCTTCCTTCACTCTTTCTTCCGCGGTTGATGCGTCTCTGGAGCTCGGTAACGTGTTCATGTCCGTGCGAAGGTGTGAAAAACATTTCAGAGCTTGCGAAAATGAGTCACATCATTTTATATTCCTCTCTCGCTGGACTCCCGCTAGACAAACAACATAAACGCAAGGGCACTTTGTCCATAATGTCTTGTTTTATTTTACTACTAATGCAAACATCAAGGCATTTGAAATTGACAATGTTGATGTGTTGTCCCCCGCTCCCTCCCTCTCTGCCTCCCCCCCCCTCCTCCCTTCTCCGTGGGTAGAATCGGTCGTCTCTTTGATGGCACAGAGCCTATAGTCCTGGACAGCCTGAAGCAGCACTACTTCATTGACAGGGATGGACACATGTTCCGCTACATCCTCAACTTCCTCAGGACGTCCAAGCTCCTCATCCCAGAAGACTTCAAAGTGAGTGGGAGTCCATCCTGGAAACCAGTCAGCAGTCCCGCACAATGACTGCTGAGGCCGTGGAAAGCCTTTGGTCGTGCTGGAGAGCGAGCTCAACCCTAACGCATTTACTTTCCCAGTTTTGGTCCCTTCCAGGTCTTAGCGACTAAAGACTGTTAGGAGGGAAAAGATCGGGGCAAATAAATATGGTAGATTTCATCAGCGCTCTGTGTTCTTAAGCCGAGTGTCCATCGGGGGTGACACTGTACGTGGCACATTAGCATTACTTCTCCCCCACCCCCACTTTTTATTACTCTTATGTGTCATTTAGTCAGTAATTACTTAACTTGCCCTGCGAGGAAACAAATAACCGCATTATCTGATGGACTGTCCACGGTGTGACTCAATCACCGCCAAGCGTGTCGGCTAAAATAAGCAAAGACAAAAGACCGGCTCAAGTTCAACCTGAGGTTACGTTCACATTGAGCAGATTTGGAGAGGGTGGCATGAGGAAAACTCGAGCGTGGTGATATTTAGACCCTGCAGTCCTGCGGGTAAAGGATCTGCTCCTTTACCACATGCGACCCTGTGTTACATGTCGCACTGAGTCTCCTCTACTCTAGATCCTTTGTAATTTCTGCTGAATGGTGTCTTCGCCTGGGTTTATTGCTCCTTCATGTAGAACAGCAGTTTTTAAAAATACTTTTAGAGAGAGAATCACAACCGTAAAACTGATCTCTGCCTTTTAATAAAGGAGAAGTATCTTTGTACAATATACGTGAAATTGGCTTCTGCAATTACAGAACGTCATGAATATATATATATATATATATATATATATATATATATATAAACAGAAACAACTATGGGCAATTTTGACCATCTATAAATGAAAAAAAAATCAAACTAGAGTGCATTTCCCCCCCACACACATTATATTAAGGATACTCACACAACCCAAAGTATGCAAAAAAAAGCTATCACAGCCCTCCCACTGTTGACTGTTATGACCCAGCATGAGTCACATACTGTTCTCAGTTTTTTTGTGGAACATATTTATTCACTGTGCTTTATATATTCTCCACAAACCCTCTCAGCGTTTATACAATACAAGATATGCATTCAACTCAAATTCAAATGACCTTTAAATGTAAACCGTTTCATTATTATTTGGACTTTTATTAGACATGAGCCCTGAAACCGCTGACAAAACACACTCACACAACGTCCACGATGTCCTATAACGGGCTTCGTCTCCTAACAGGACTACAGCCTGCTGTACGAGGAGGCGCGGTACTTCCAGCTGCAGCCCATGCTGGCTGAGCTGGAGAGCTGGCGCCAGGACCAGGAGCTGAGCCGGGTGTCGCGCCCCTGCGAGTGCTTGGTGGTGCGCGTGGCGCCCGACCTGGGCGAGAGGATCACGCTCAGCGGGGACAAGGCCCTGATCGAAGACGTGTTCCCGGAGATCGGCGACGTCATGTGCAACTCCGTCAATGCCGGCTGGAACCACGACTCCACGCACGTCATCCGCTTCCCGCTCAACGGGTACTGCCACCTCAACTCTGTGCAGGTGAGGAGGGCCGAGGGCTTCCGGGGGCGTCGCGCCATTTAGTCTGAGCTTTCCTCAACAAGGAAAAAACACTAAAAGTATGCTTTTCTACATTTTTCCACTTGCGTGCCCCAGGCATTGACTGAGGTGATGATCTGTTCACCCGATTTATTTTTTTCTTCATCCGCAGTGAGGCTGTAGACTTTTTGAATTTCACTGATTGCAAAATCGTATCTTTTATTAATCTAATCGAGTCACAAGAACAGCCTTGCGGAAAAAAAGGGAGTTCTTTGATGAGTTCATCAAAGGATCAATTTAGAAAGTCATCATTACGCAAGTTTACCACTATCTTCACTTTTCTGTGATCCGACCGGAATAATGATTTTGGTCTCCGGAGCCGGTGGACGCTCAGCTTTAATATCACGCATCTCTCTGCAGAGCTCATAACTGGGTCCATCGTGTGTGTGATTGGATGCAAAACAAATGAGCTTTATCTACGAGTCATTATCAATTGTTGGCTTTGGAGCCCAACGCCACAGAAGTAAACAGTAAACAACGGGTTGGAAGTGGATTTCAACCGGTCAAGTAAACAGCCGACCTCTTGAATCACGCCGGAGAGTCGCGTGAATCCTCAAACAGAACGAGGACGTGGGCGTTTCAGGATGCAGTGAAACACTCCGGCAGACATTTCTAGTAAGATTTCTTAACAAAAGTATTACATCTTGCAAATCCACAAGATGCAATCCCTTGAGGATTTGCAGGCTAGTAGTTCTACACCAAAGTAATAATAATAATACGTATTAATAGGTTTGAGAAGTAATCTTGCCATATGAGGTTATTGTGCAAATCCAAAACACCTTTTACTGTTTATTCATCACGACTTATACGCTGTTGGAGAAGTTGTGGTTTCTAGAGGAGCAAAAGTACACCATGAAGTCTTTTCTCATCCAAAGATATCATGATATATTCTCTATTGAAGGATTTAATGTGATCATTTCAGAGGTATAATGAGTTCAGGGTGAAACCATCCATGTCAAGCTAAAACAATACTCTAATAAGAAGACGTCTACACAAAGTGCTCAATTCATCTTCTATAGTCACAATGTATTTGGCAATATTCTATTCCCCTGGTTATATATTGATATTACACTAATTCATTGATGGTAAACTGCTCAGATAGGCATCAATAAACGATGGCTTATTGGAAAAGGATTCACAATGATGTTGGACTGTGTCTCCATTTGAGGGAGTCAAATCTCCCTCGGAAGACGCACACACACACACACACACACGCACAAACAAACCCGTCTGTGAAGTGTGTGAGTGGTGGAGAGCGAGCGAGCGAGTGAGCATGCTCCCTGGCAGGTTGTCCCCAGGCGGGGCCCATAATCCTGTTTGGTTATTAAAGCACGCCGCCGGTGGATGCTGTATCTGCGGCTAATGGAGGCAGGGCGGGGGTTCGGAGAGAAGGAAGGGAGGGGGCAGAGAGAGCTGCCAGCAGCAGGGGGACCTTTGTAGTTTTGACGGAGGCTTGGGCCTGGGGGGGTCTGGGCGGGGGGGGGGGGGGGTCTGGGGGAGAAATGGGGAGAGGCGTTTTTTTTTTTTTTCTTCTTTTGCTCGGCGGCCCACATTGAGCCAAGTGGCAGAGAGAAAGCCTCACAGCTCCCTGAGGCCTCTTCATTGGAATGTGATCCTACCGCCCCCTCCCTCCCCCAGTCCTCCCCCCCCCCGGGTCACGTCTGTAGATGTCTGCAAGGCTGCATGATCAGGAACGGGCTACAACGCGCACGTTGCGGCGGAAAACAATGCAACTGAGTCACGGGGCGAAACGAGGGGCCTTTGCTCTCGCTGAAAGTCTCGGTGAAGTCTCATCCGAGCCCCCCGTCACCCCAACGCAGTGAGCGAAAAAAGGGTTCTCAGATCATTCTGTGCAGGAAACAGAAGGTTAGAGGTGACGTTGGCGTCTGAGCCTCTTCCCGCGGAGGACTTTTATGGGCCTTCTCGAACAGGTCGGCAGTGACAGATTGCTCGTAAAACAAAAAAAAAGCCGCCGACGATGCTTAGACGTTGTCCACTGACATGTCCCTTCCTCCTGCGCCGTTCCGCCCCCTCCAGGTTCTAGAGCGCCTCCAGCAACGCGGCTTCGAGATCGCCGGCTCCTGCGGCGGAGGCGTGGACTCGTCCCAATTCAGCGAGTACGTCCTGAGGAGGGAACTGAGGAGGACGAGTCAGCGAGGCTCCAATTCAAACAGGATAAAGCAGGAGCAGCTGGACTAGAAGCCTCCCAAGCAGCAGGAGGCGCTGGACTTTTTTCTGTGGCGGCCTAGCGCTCGATGCTGCAGAGCTCCGTGGACTCGGTTTGGGTTTTTCTTTTTGTTTCCTTGTCGATGTTTTTGTTTTCTTAAACTTGAGAACCATCTAGAGAATTTAAAATGAGGTGCAACAGGAGATTTTTTTTTTTTGCCATAAGAAGATACAAGACGTTTGTTAAGTTTGAGATTGCAGGGACATTTGTGAATGTCGAGCCCCCATAAACCAAGTAAAAAAGGATTTATATACGCTGGATCCCCAAAAAAAGTTTGTTTTAAAACTTGGAGCCTACATTAGGTTGAATATGATTTCCACTATACCCATATAAATTTAAAAAAGGCTTTTATTGCTTATGTAGTATCTTCCATAGCTTGTCACCAGTGTCTTGATGTTGCTGTCACTGGCAAAGTGTCTGCAAATCAAGTCTGTTTTAATCCCTCGCTGTATAAAGGTCACTAAGTTGTTGCTTACAGTACAGAATGTCTCGGTTGTCATAAACGGTTAGTTTCAACAACGTCTTTTTTCACAATTAACATGATGTTGAATATTGTGATACCGATGAAGTGGTTTTTTTTTTTTACTTTAATGGAAGTTATTTTATTAGATTATAACATTAAATAGTTGAAATTAGTATCATTAAAATGATACCCGGGAAGCCCGGACCATTCTGTACGAATAAAGATTTCTTTTCAGTAGATTATAACTTCACACCATTTGCCTCATTGGGGAGTATGAACCACTCGTCCCCGTGTACTAGCTTTGGAATTATTGAATCAGAATATTCATAACAGAGTCATAACCTGTACATTTGATCATTGTATATGTGTTTGTGTTTTTTACATTGAATCTTTTTAAAGCAAATTTGCCTCAGACGTGACTGAACAGATTATTGTACCACCCAATCCAAGATCCCTTTTACTTGTTGCGCATATTGATATGAAGTTGGATATAAAGTATTTCGGACATGACTGACCCACCTACGCTCCCTAGATTTGAGTAAAGAGGATTGTAGCAAAAAAAGAACAAAGTGAAATAAATCTCAACTAAAGTTGTCCTGGTGTCTGTTCCCTGTTTGTTACGTACGAATTCCTTCAGTCCCGATATCCTGCATCTATGCTAACCGAAGGGTCCTAATGGCATCCCGAACGTGTTCATGGTCAAACAGGAAGCCGAATCTTTGCTTTTAGCTCTCTAAAGCAAAGTCTTACCGCGGCAATGTTTCACCCCGGAGGATTTCTGCTGGTGCATCAGTGCCCGCATGGGGCATTCTTTACTTAGTTGTATTGAATGAAGCCGACTTCTCCACGCAAGTCCTGTCAGTTGTGCTTCCACATATCCCCGCAGGGCCAAAATCCAAAGTGAAATCCCACATGGAGCCCTGTCGTCTTCATGCCTTGTGGCAGAATCTTCACTTTCTTTGGCTATCTGCGGTTTATGCTACATGTCTCCCTTTCAGGCCTCTTTGCCCCAGATTCGCTTTTGACTGACTGTTATTCACAGAGGCCAGAGGTGCAACTGTGAGTGGTACGCAGCGATGCTTTGCTCTCAATCATGAAATCAAAGTATTCACATCAAACGTTTCGACACTCAGCGATAACTATTTTAGCGTGCAGTTCAAATAAGTTCAGTTCGGCATTTTGAGTGTTTGAGGCGATGAATCACCGATGGATTTACACCAAAATACAACAATTCCAACATTCAACCTAGTAACCAGCCACCCTCTACACATTTCATACAAGTTTTCAGTATTGATCATTTCAATTGAGAAAAATACTGCTTGATAAAAAATTTAAAAAGTAATTTTTATTAACTTTTCATGAATATTAAATTTTCATGAATATTTTGTAAATTTGTAAGTGAATGACAAGCTGGATATCACTCTCATTTCTGCACAATAAATATAAAACTACAGCCGCCAGCTGCATAGCTTAGCTTAGCTTAGCGTAGCACACAAAAACCCCACACTGTTTTGTTTTATTTAGAAGGCTTGCTGCAGGTTACTGTTCAGACAGGAAAGTTATATCAATCCTCCCATCTCATTAACTGTCATTAAAACTAGAGTACACAACGATGCAGGCTTTTCAGAATGAAATCGATCGACATGTATAAGGGTTATAAGTTTGTAAAGCCACATGAACCCAAATGGATGAGCTTCATGAATAAATGGTTCTTGTTCTCCTAAAATAAAACACGGCGTGAGAGAAGGAGAGAGAAACCGAACGAGTGTTTAGTTTATAATCCAGCTGTACTTTTGTGCACCCTATGTGATTTTTAAGTGTGTTACCTGTGGGGCAGCCGAAGCATAATGAGACCCTGTTTAGCCTTTATCTCTTCTCACTTCCTGGATTCAGACTAACTTAAAAAGGAATTAGAGATATCCTCCTCTCCGGACACAGCCTGTTGGTGAAGAGATGAATGGTATTAAGAGGCCGACTTCCAGTCCTTTAGAAGGACAGGAGGGGGGGAGAATAAAGTCATTTGAGATCCTCCTCTCTTCTGTGGTGTGCCTGTGATCATGTCTCTCTCGCTCGCTCTCTCCCTGCTGATTATTTCCAGTCATCAAAAGGCCCAGTAGGGCCCCGGAGAAAGTGGCCGTCTTTCCCTCGCTCCCCAGGCTCTGCTTACTCACCACTGGTGAAGGTCAGTGGACGGACTCATTCACCTCGTCTTCCCATCCTCAGCCCTCATGGAGCTCAGGCAGTGGCTGCTGCTCCAAATGAAAGTCTGAACCGAATGGACTTATTAGCTGACTCGCATTGTACCCTGGATTCAGTCTTCTTCTATCTGCGGTCCTCTCCCTCTTGTTCTGTGTTGATCTGTAGGTAATATTCTGTGCTGTAGGTGCCTCCTACCTTTATTTATTGAAAAAGCCCCTCAGCCATTTTATGCCAGCAAGATAATTATAAATGTAACCCATGGCAAAAAAGCAAAACACAACTCCCACACCTCTCCCTTGCCATTTCTGTCTGTGCCTCTCTCTCTCTCCCTCTCTCTCCCCCTTCCCCTCCCTTAGCCTCCGGAGCTGATTTCACATTTTCAAAGATATCTCCTAGTGAGGCTGTGAGATTGAAGGCTCATAAATACCTTTATTATAATATAATGGGCACATATTTCTAGCCATTATTTCTTGTGGAGAAATTAGTTCATCTGTGTGATGAATGCCTGCACAGTCTTTGGGGCCTTAAATGTTCTTGGATGGACACTTGCTGGTAGGATAATGGCTCAAATGTACAATCTCCATTGGAATAATATGTCACAGTGGAAATACAAGCCTTAATGTGAAAAAGGAGCCAAACACCAAACGCGGAGCTCTGCACCTGTGCTGATGGCTTCTTGTGATTGAAATTGCTGGAGATGGCAGCAGGTAAAAGAGAAACCCTTGTTCCTTTTGTTTCTGCAGTACCACACACTCCTAAACGCCCCCCAAGTTCTTTTTGTGTTTTGTGGGAGCCCAAGGCAGCTCGTAATAATCCACGTTTAACGTACAACAGATTGTAACCCAGTGGGCTTTGAGGACGTCCATTGTGGTTACGTCATCTCGGTGGGACAAGATATTCTGGCAGCGTATAGTGAAATAAGGGGGAAGTAGCAAAAAAGGCAACAATGGCCCGATCGAGAAGGCACGATTTTGTCAGAGATGTCTTTACATTGCAAGCTACTGAGACCAGCGTGCTAACCGGCTAGCCGTCCTGTCTCATTACCGCTCGTACGTCTCGGGGAGAAACGAGTCTCTGCGGCGTCCAGCCGGCCCTCAGACCCACATGAGGGTACCACGAAGCAAAGCTTTGTCGGGGGCTCGTCGATCACGTTGAAGACAGGAAAAGCAAATGCGGCAAGGCCGGTAAAAGGGCGGCCCACTATTAGGACCCAGGGGCGGGGGCGGAGCTTATAAAAAGGGGGTGGAAGCTCACCTGGGCATTTCATCCTGGTGATTCACACACCTGAGGCCAGCTGATTGGGTAAGCCCTGCTTCATTCTACCGGCCTAAAAACAGGATTTTAATGCTGAATATCTTTTAGTTCATCACATTAAAGTAGTTTATTTATTTATCAGCCTTGCTTGGCGAGGGCCGACCCCCTCAATCACCTGCTCCAACTGGGGAGTGATTCCTGTATTGTGTGTTTTTTAGTCATCTCATTTGCCGTGATTTGATTTAGTTTGAAGTGTTCTTCTGTTTTATTTTGTGACTACCGGTATTTACTTTGTTATATTCACACTGACCTCACAAATGGTACGAATTAGTCCCACGTGGTCTATTTTCTTTGTTTGTGTTGTTTGAAATATACATTAAGTGAACAGTATTTAATCTCTTTTATTTGTGTAGTTAATCTAATGAACAGATTTTGGTAAAGTCGTCTCCAGTTTATTTTGGTTCTTGTGCGTAGAATATTACCGGGTCACACAAAGATGGCTAGAGCTCTTTGATAAAACATCTAAAACAAGACTACACGTTAGCATTGGCTATTTAGCACCACAACATAAATAACCCTAATGGAGTTTTGGGGCGTTTGGTGTGGTGGTTGGCAGTCGACTCACAGCCAGAAGGTCCCAGCGGCCTTTCTCTGGGAAGTTTGCATGTTCACCCCGTGTCTCCCCGTGTCTCCCCGTGTCTCCCCGTGTCTCCTCGTGTCTCCTCGTGTCACCCCGTGTCTCCCCGTGTCTCCTCGTGTCTCCCCGTGTCTCCTCGTGTCTCCCCGTGTCTCCTCGAGTCTCCCCGAGTCTCTCCGTGTCTGCGTGGGTGCTCTCAGAGTACTCGGAAGACATCCTCTGGAGGTTAATCTGTGACTCTGTAGTTGTGTGACTTTGAGAGTCAATGGTTGTTTGTCTCTCTGTCTCTCTGTCACTGACTGTACTGTGATTGTACCGCCCCCTCTCTCTCTCTCTCGCCCCACGTTAGCAGGGATTGAGGAAGGTGTCAGACTGTTACTAGTAATCTTCTCCACCCCAAGACCTTGAAGATGGCCTCTGTAAAGCCTGTGAAACTTTGGGACGGTCCCACTGTCAAATCGTGGCGTGTTTGAGGGCTCTCAAAGATATTTCGAAAACTTAACTTAAGGACCAATCCTGTTTTCTACAGACTTTGCCTGAGGGAATTACCCACAATTCCTAGCAATTTGATGCTAAGCACGGGGTTACCTGGGAGGCATGGAGGTGTATAAGAGGTAAACAACGCGGACGACACATGTGCGTTGAGCCTGGCAAATTAGATTGAAAATATTAAAGATTAAAGCTGAAACATAAAAACACGCAAAATCAGAGGAATAAAATGATTAATTCTATTGCACAGATTTAATCATCAAACCTTGCATTTTGTCATTAAACCTGTGTTGACAAAAAGCAGTAAATGGATTATTTGAAATTACGTCTCATCTTTTGGCGAAAGAGCCTGGAAGATGTTCAAATCAGAAACATACCCACATTATCTTTTCTGGAATGGCGATGGGATACGTATAAGCAAACTGTGATTCTTATTTAAACCATTTCAAGCCCTTAGAGCCTCTCACACAACCATTCAGCAGGTGACATCAGTAAGTGTCTCAGGGTTCAGATTTTGAGGCCTTCGACGGGGGGATCGGGCCTCTGTCAGCATTCCGCAGTCCGGACCTCCTATTTGTTTGAAGCATGTGTCCAGGCATTACACAATGCACCTGCAGACCAACAAATGTCTACAGCCGGGACAGCTACACTGTTGGGTGGCACTTGGGCACAGTGGCTCCACGAGAAAGGGATGTGTCTGCATGCTAACATATGCCCACAATGGATGAGGTAAACATGCTGATGCCTTCCATGCATAACATTTAACGTGTGCACCATTTCAGTTAGCACATTAGCATTGGCTAACATTTGCAATAAACAAGGATGGAAATCTTTAGGACTCATCAGCTGGGGGCAATAGACATCCGCGCCAATCCGATAGCTTGAGTAAAGATCCTCAGCATGCCAGTGACTAGAAAGGGAATCAAACGGGTAATCACCCCAATGCGCTCTATCTACTTGTTAGTGCAGATGTTTACTTTTAACAAGAAGTATTTAAGTTCCTGTCAGTGTACAG